TATACTTTTTCTTTTTTTTTCTCTCTCGTTTTTTTCCCCCTCCCCCCCCATTAGAGAATGATTTTTTTTCGTTTTTTTTTTCCTTTTTTTCCAACGCATCGCCGACGAACGGCCGATGCACGAAGAGCCAACTTTTTGTATTCGGCTCGCGCGCGAACGCGCTCTGTACACGATTCGTGTGCGCTTTAAACTGCGTGTCAATGGGAAGAAGATTGGAGGCGACTTAAATGTAATTTTTTATACAGAGAGATACATGCAGACCGTCGTTCGTCGTTCCACCATTTTCTTTCTTCTCGACACTGTGGCGTGTAGCTTCTGCGACTTATAATTTTCTCCCCCCCTTCCCCTTTTTTTTGTCCTTCCCTCTTTTCTCACGCCTTCTCCCAATTCCGAATTCCTTGGATTTCCCTTCTGCCATTCGATATTCACAACCGTGTTCGCGATTGATAATGAACGGGATTAGGTAACTGTCTACTCCGCACATTCAGGGATATCCCACGGTCGTTGCTAAGAAAGAAAGAAAAAAAAGAAGAAGAAAAAACGGAATTCTTCGCCTCTAGTTTCCCCTCCTCCCGATGATCGATGTTCCTTCTCCTGAGAAAGTTTTTCCTCGCGGACCGGTCACGCCAGTACGCTTTCCAAGAAAAATCGACCAACTACACCACGACTATCCACGTAACGAGAACTACTTGTCCGTTACACCGTGATCTTGCTTGCTTGCTCGGGGGGGAACACGAGAGAGAATTCTCTCGTGTCCAGAAAATCGATTTTGTCCGTCGATTTGAAATTTCGAACGAATCGATCGATGTGCATTCATTATAGGATCGTAGAATTAAAAGTTGTGGAAATTATGCCCCGCGTTTACACTTTTTGATCGGAAAAAAAAAAGGAAATTAGGATCGTTCGATTTTCAACATTTTTCGTGCTTTTATTCATATAACTTGATTTATCGGTTTGTATTATTGTATTTATGTTTGTTTAATAATTTTTTAATGATTCTTTTTATACGCGTGAATAATTTCGTTTAGGTCTTTAAATTTTACTAAAAACAAAAAAAAAAGTGTTAAAAATGCGTGAGTGATCCTAATCTTTTTGACCAAAAACTGTATGTTCTAATTAATTTTAAAACAGGGGATTTAAATCGAAAAAGACCGTGAAATACGTACTTGTATGACAAGAATAATTTTCAGTTAATCAATAAAATTAATCTTAAATAGACAAAATTTTGCACAATACGTAATTATAAATAAAATGTACGATACAATTTAATACAGAAAAATTCTGGTGATCAAAAAAGTAGAACTATGCAAAGCTGTGATTAATTAAGAGATTATAAAATAAGAGAAAGAGAAAAAAAAAACGCATTTACTCTCTCAAGAAGAAACAACCTTGACTCGGTTACAATCTGTCGAATCGAGATTTCCAATTGGCTGTCTTTACGGCCATGAATCTCACGGACACTCCGCCCGGAAGAATTCATCTTTGAAGAATGGAAAGATTGCAATCGAGGAAGCAAGCAGCCGACATCAAACAAAACGTTCTTTTTCACGAGGACTGCTTAACAGAATGATCATCGGCCATCAGAAGGAGGGTAACTGTCCCCATTGTTCCACGAATAAAACACCCGCTCGATTTTCTCTATTAAAAGACCGCCGAACGGGTTGTAATCACCTTGTGCGCCACCGACATTTAGGTGAAATACAACGTACACACGTGCTTGTACACCACCTAGGATACGTAAATTCTATCTTCTAAAACATCTTAACTGGAGTCTTGGTCGGTTTCGTAGAAAATTCCTATTCGTAAACGTGAATTTCTCTGCTCGGCTATTGAGATTGGCGACGAGAAGCAGTCTTGGCCGTCCATCTTGCGTCGAAATTAGGCTGTTGCAGATGAAATTCTATCGAATTCTTGATAGATTATTTACTCGCTGAAAGACTGGTGAATTTAACTTGAATTTTTTTACACCAATGATCAAGATTTACATGTCGAATAATTAACACTTGGAGATTCCACGTTGAATCGCGTTCAACCGCGTTGAATTTTCACGTTTAGTAATAAATTTGGCAACGTTTCACGCGCAACAACCTAACCTAACCACGCGATCCCATCTCTTATGCAACGAAAGAGGTGGAAGCTGGGCGAAAGAATTTAAAGAGGCTCGCCATATTCCACACCGATTCATCAAGAATATTCGAATATTCTCGGGAGAGCAATATTTTACAAGGCTCCTTAGGAAATGGAACGATCAGACTCGACGTCGAGATCGAATTTTTACACGACGCCTGTTCCACCACAACCTCCTCCTCCGTTCAATTCGTTCGAAGATCTTGCTCGTTCGAAACGAGACGACCGAGTTGCGGCGATCGAATTCGAGCCGATTTTCCATTATTCATGACTGATCGAAGATAGCGGTGAATTATCGTTGAGCCAAACTCAAACGCGTAACGACGGATGAAATGAGGTATAGGACAATCGAACAGGGGCGGCGACTTCATTTCCTTAAAATTCCTGGCCGCGCGCTTCGCAGGATTAATGGAACAAGTTTAATGGAACGACTCTTCTGGGAGCGAATATCCTCGCTAAATTAGACTATCAGATGCTCGCTCTTCGATCGCTTAATCGCTTCGCTCGCGACTCTCTTTTGTCTCGACGAAAATGGACGCGATATTTTACACTTTTCTTCCTTCTCCCCCCGCGAAAAATAACGACTTTTTGTACGCAACTCGAAGAATATCCTTGACTCGACTTGGCTTCTTCCCAACAAACGTTTCGATCATCCTCGACAAAATCCTCTCGACGACCAATCCCGTTTCTCGACGAGCGTTTTTCGGGAACAATTTCCCACAATTTCGTAACAGATGCGATAACAAGCGTTGCAGACTCAACGGATGCGCAACAACCTTCTGAACGCTCTCCTGTAGTCGAGATTGAAGATCGTGTAGATGAGGGGGTTGAGAGCGCTGTTCACGTAACCGAGCCACGTGATGAAGTAGACCATACGATCCGAGGGGCAACAAGCCGGGCAGAACGGCACGATCACGTACATGAGAAAGAAGGGTAACCAGCAAACGACGAACACGCCCATAATCACGCCCAGCGTCCTCGCGGCTCGCCTCTCCTTCGACAACGAGATCCTCTGCCGCTCCTCGATGAATTGGTACACGGTCGTCGTGGTGGCCGGTGCCCTGCTCCCCGTAGTCGCCCGCCTCGAGGACGAGGTGCCACCGCCGCCCAACGTCACCTCGGTCGGCTCGTCGTCGATCAACGAGGGTTTCGCGTGCGACCGAGGCGTCGACCTCTCGTTGTGATTCGTCTCCGAGCTCACGGATTCCTCGGCGTCGTCCGCCTCGCGGTGCCTGGTCGACTGAACAGCGTTTATCCTGCTCTGCCTGGCGCGCTCCCTCAGCCGCCTCCTCGTCGCGAGGAATATCTCGAGATAGACGAGGCTCATCAACAGCAACGGGATGAAGAACGAGCCCAGGGACGAGTAGATCACGTACCCCTGCCTTCTGGTCAACTGGCATGGCGTACCCGGCTCCAACTCCTCGGGCCAGTCGTTCCAACCGGCGAGGGGCGGCGAGCTGATCGCGCCTGACAGGATCCACACCCCAGCTATGGTCGCCAGAACCCTCTTCAGGGTGCGTTTCTGGGCGTAATTGATGGGATCCGTGATCGCCCAGTAACGGTCGAGGGCGATCGCGCAAAGATTCAGTATGCTCGCCGTGCAGCAAAGCACGTCGCAGGTTAGCCAGAGTTTGCACAGGTGTATGCCGAATATCCACTTGCCGAGGAGGAGGTAGGCGACGTTGAACGGCATCACGAGGATCGCGACGGCCAGGTCAGCGACAGCCAGAGAAACGATGAAGAAGTTCTGAACGATTCGAAGGGGCCTGTAGGTGAACACGCTCAGGATGACAAGCGCGTTCCCCAGCACCGTGGCCAAGACGAGGAAGCCCAGCGTGAGGGAGGCGGCCGCGGCTTCCCAAACGGGCAGGTTCGAGCCTGTCTCCTCCTCCTGCGGGCCGCAGCCTGGCACCTCGTAGTCCTCGGTCATCGTCCCGCCTGACTCCCCGCTCGAGTTCATGTCGTCGAGCCCGCTCTCTGGAACAATGGGCGCTCGTTATTTCTACGTCCGATTAAACAAGAGTTTTCTTCCGATCTAAGCTAAATTTCCATCCGTGCCTGATTATCCGTTTGCAAGGGGAAATAAGGTCTAATTAGCGAGGTTTATATGTTGGTCTCCTTTCCAATTTGTAAAGAGAAAATATATTTTCTCGTGCATCTAGAAATGTTTCGACAAGTAATGGATATATCGAGCGATAATTATATTTTGGATGAAGTTATCCTTACGCAAAAATATCGAAGAGACACGCTTATTCGCAACACTCGTCGTCTTTTTACCACTTAGTTTGGAGTTCTTTTGCGAACGAGTTGAAAATATAAAAGAAAGAGGATCGATAAGGGTTAAGATTGATTCATAAACGCGTCGTTCCAAGATTACAATGACTCGTTGCAATCCCTCTTTCATCAATCGAAGCGCTAAACGCTTTGCTTCGAGACGCGCGCGCCGCGTTCAATCATACTTTTCAAAGTGATCGTTTGAAAGGCCATATGGAAAATAATGCTGGTTTTAAGTGTCTCTCTCTCTCTGTAAATCCTACTGCGGAGGTATTTTGCCTTTCTCTTCCGTCCGCCTATTTTTTCCCCTCCTTCTTTTACGATTTTACACGCGACGGATCAAAGTGATCCGAGCGAAAGGTAATCCTTGATCGGTGACACTAAAATTTTCCCAAATGCGTAAGCTTTCTAAGCTTTGCGTCATCCTTTTAAACGCCTTCTCGCCTCCCCCTTGATTACTCGACTCGTTTCTCAACCCCTATATTCTCTTTCTCACCGCCACGAGGGGGGTGAGAAAGTTTTTCGAGGTAAACTTTTCGAGTTTACGCACACGGTAACACGGTTTCAACCGTGTTTTCTCTTTCCTCGCTCGAAGAAAATGGGAAGGAAGGTTCGTTAATGGAAAGAATAATCCGAGGAAACCGAAACTAGCTGGGCAAGCAGGCAAATAAGGAAGGGGACCGCGAAACAACATTGGTGGTAAAGAGGGGGAGAAAGTATTTTCGCTGGAAATTGTTTTTTTTTTTTTTTTTTTTTTTGCTTGGAATAATCGAGTTGGAAGGAAGGAAAAGATCGCGAGAGCATTTAAAGGATGGGATAAACGATTTGTTTTAATAACTCGAATATGTTACACGGCGAAGTTTTTAACTGTCTTTATCGAGTGATTCGGCAAACAAACAAGCTCAGCAATCGAGATCACAATTGAATTACGCTTGATGCACATCCTTTTTCGAGTTTAGTATAGGATTCGTATAGAATAGATAGATATTCGGTTCATTTCATCAAAATTTAATTAAAAGGACGTGGAACGATAAGAATTTTTGAATAGGCAAATTTCCCGTATCTCTTTTTCTCCCTCCTTTCGTCCCTCCATTTCTCTGTACTCCCTGTATATTTTCGCATGGAAAAAGCGAATGTATTTTTATGTTATATAATGTGCTTTTTCAAGGGGATGTAGTTTCTTGAAAAAAGTGCTAAGAGAAATTTAAAATGCTCGAGAGAATATTCTATATTTAGGCGACACTGTACTTAAAGATACTTCATGCGGATATTTTCTATTTTCAGGTAAAATCCTGTATCCAATTTTTAGAATAAAAATCACACGATTTCCGAGACTCGAATGAGAACATGTTCACGCTATGAAACGTGATCGGTTTTCTGCATCCATTCCTGCATCCTCTGAATTTTCTAAATTTCATTCCTGATCCCATTCGTGATTCTAGATTTTAACAAATACACGATGTACATTGAAATAAAATCGATCTCCATAAATTTCTTTTAAATTTAAATAAAGACAGATCTAAGAAAAAACGTGGAAGACGCGATAAAACGGATGAGAAATTATTCTCTAGATTTTAATATATAATCTGCGATAAAATGGAGGATAAAGTTGAAAAAGGAAATAAGGAAATAAAAGATACGATGGAACAAAGAGGATTAAAAAAAAAAAAAGAAGTTTTTTCCCGATTCACGTTTCACAAAATTTTCTAAATACTTCTGAACCATTGTTTTTTAAATTTTATACAAATATTTGCAACAATGCAGGATGAAACGGGGCATAAACTCGGTTCAGTTTCGATTTCCTGAATTTTCTAAATTTTATCCTCGTATCAATTATTTTAACAAACAAATTCTCGCTATGCGAGCATAAAACAAAATCGTAAAGTCGATCCTCTTTGATTTCATTCCCACCTCTGAATTTTCCAAATTTCATCATATCAATTATCCCCGAATTTTAACAAGTATTCATACTATGCGCAATGAAACAAAGGATAAAGTCATTCCCTCCTCTCGTCCGAATTTTCCAAATTTCATCCCTGAGTCATTCGTTCGTTCTCTACATCTCAACAAGCATCCGTTCTCTCTTTCACCATGAAACAGAGAATGCGTAAAGTCGATTCTCTTCATATAATTTCATATTTCTCCGAGAATTTTCTAACTTCTATTCATTTTTCTTTTTTTTTTCCCCCAGATGAAACGAGAAAGGACAAATTCGAGTCCTTTCCTCCGAATTCTCCAAATTTCATTTCCCCTTGAAATCATCATCCTCCTACGTACATTTCACCGTCCATTCCCTATGAAACAAAAGAACACCTAAAGTCGATTCTCCTCGATTCTCATATCTCTCTGAATTTTCCAAGTTTCATCCCCCAGACTTTTAACAAACATCTACACGATGGAACACAGGTCGGCAAAGTCGATTCCCTTCGATTTCATGTCCCAATTCCCCTTTTGCATTCACCTCTCCCCCCCTCCCCCCTCCCCCTCGAAAACTTGGGGGAGGGAATTATTATCGGCAATGATCCGCGGCCGAATGCAGGCATGCTCCACTTGTTCGAAATTCCACTGTGCCGCAATTCAATCCGGGCTTTAAGATCGAGAATACGATATTGGCGGGCAAAACGGTTAATAGATTCCGCGGCGTGTTACATTTCGATCGATATTTTAAATGGCCGGGGCAGAGATCCATTTTCTCGCCCGTCTTTCTTCGCTCAAACACACCTGCCGACGGGCCGAGAGTAATGAATAAAAATAGCTGCAAGCTGGAGCGCGCATATACACGGGGGCTGTTTATCGGCCGTTCGATATCTCGTCGTATCAAACGACCGGATATTTGGCATTTTTTTTTTTTTCTCGGATTATTATTCATACGATAAATTTCTTCCCGTGTTCGGATCGCATGTCCGTGATGACGTAATGAAACAATTTATTACTCGATTATTGCTCGTAAAATAAAAGAGACTTTAGTGAGCCTGATTTCGATGGAAATCATAACGATGCTTGTCTAATTGTAACGAATTATTTTCTTATAATTTTTTTGTTTAATTAGAAAATATTTTAATTGAATATATTTTAAATAAATAGCGTTTATCTTTGATTAAGCTTGTTAGATTAAGCTACGTGAATGTGCTAGATTAATGATAATATTCTACATGATATCCGTTTAAAAAATTACAAATTTTATTAACTATTAATATTATTTCATACGTGTATTATAGTAACTTCGCCGATATGAATTCAATTTCGAGAATATTTAAGATTTACTCACTTATATATCAGTCACCGATTTATTAACTGATTCAAAGAAACAAATTCTAGATATTTATAGCAAAGTCATCCAAAGATAAAGAATAATGATCAAAGCACGATTTATTATTATTAAATATCGGTTTTATTAAAAATACACACGAAATACATTGAAGGCATTGTGATAGATCAAATCCTACGAGAAAATGTCACCGAAGTGTTGCGAGCATCGAATATAAAAAAAAAAGAGAGAAAAAAAAACGGAGAACACAGACATTTGTATCCTCAATAGCGACAAGTGTCATAAATTCTTGATACCTTTCACGACCATGTTCAACTAAACTTGACACTTTTCCCAACCAAACTTCGTCGACCTGGCAATACCCCGTGCTAACCCTCTCCATATATCAAAATAAGTGGGTGTTGGTGACTATCAAATTCAAAGTTGGTCAGTGAATGTTTCATTGTGTCACGACCCGCATCGAAAAACTTCTTAAAAATATGATGCAAAATATGAGTGGAGAGCATTTTCAAAACAAAAATTTTTATTACGCGACGAATAAAAAGGACTAAACTAAAAATTAATAGCAGATTCTCTCAAAAATCTTTTTTCTTTACTCTTTTAAGATTTTCATCGTTCCATTCTTCTAGAATAGTGACCAAATATATCAATTTTTATTATTTATATAACTATAAAAGATTCTGTAATCTAAACAACTTGACACGCAGCAACACCTTGATTCTTGAGAAACGGAAGTAAAGGGGGAAAAAAGGTGAATATCCTTGATATTGACGAAAAATAAACGAGATCTCGAGCACGCACGTTCGAAACAACTTTGTCGATCATCCATTTGACAATCGATTACACAAGGAAACCGTTACACGTCAAACGTTGTAAAGAAAGAGGAAGAAGAAGAAGAAGAAGAAGAAGAAGAAAAAGAATACACTTAACGCAAAGTGGAAAGTTCTTATTGTACCCGTAAGAAGGATACGGCGAAGAGCCGTTTACTCTGCGAAAGTTTCACAGTTCTCGATAAAGAGATACACCATTGAGGGTGGAAGCAATCGAGATTCCAGCATCGAAGCGAGCATTCGCGTCGATCCGGAAGGAAGGAAGCGTGAACTGGCAAGGATAAAGAGATTCGTCTCTGTCCGAGGATCTTTGGAATCCTTGTCGCGAGCCAAGCGGATAATACAAAAACGGATGGAGCGAAACAGGGAAACGTTTCCACTTCCTTCGAATCAATGATCCGACCGAATGCATTTTCTCGCGATATATATACGCGGGGATAGAATTTATGTGCGAGCGGTTCGAACTCGAAACGAGCTTTTTAACCGTTTCATTTCAGAGACAGAGGATGGTGAAAAGGCGACACTCGAGATAAATTCGTTCTCGTTTCGAAAAATCTTTGATCCGCCAACGGTACTCCCCCTCGACTTTCCCACGTGTGAAAACG